TACCTAATTATGTAACTGCAAAACATAGAGCTGAACAAATAGATCCATGTAGTTAAGAAATCAATACTAAATAGTAACTAAAAGAAAAAAAAAAACAGAAAACAGTGTTAAGCATATAAAATATCTGAACAACACAATTTGACCTAGCTGATATTATAAAACACCACACCCAATGGCTGAATATGGAACATTTACATATACAGTCATATCTCGGTATCCATCGGCTTCTGTACTCGTTTCATTTTGACAAGAAAAGAATGTTTCAGCACTTGGCATTTGCTCGGGACTCATGGCAATCACTAGAACTTGTGTGAGTCACATTACTGCCACATAAGAGAGAATGCTTCATCATTAGGTACTTGGCACTCCTCAGAAGTTCTGGAATGAATTAAGAATGAGTACTGAGGTACCACTGTACTTGATTCATACAACAATTCTTAAAGGATTTATCAGAATATTTTCTGACCACAGCGGAATTAAACTAGAAGTCAATGACAAAACTAGAAAGTAAAAGTTTGGAATTAAAAATCTCCATAGGTGGAAGAAGAAATGAAAAATGGAAATATAAAATATTCCAAATGAATGATAAAAATAAATCATCTGTGGGGTTCAGCTAAAGCAGTACTTAGAGAAGAAAGTGCAACTTTGAAATCTATTAGGAAAAAAGTTAAGTCTTATGTAAGTTTCCATTTCAAGAATGGAAAACATTAAAGTGGAGAAGTAGCAGAGAACTTTTGTTTCAAGACGAGATTTACCCTTTCACCTGAAACATGAAAAAACAGCCTGGCCCTGCCCGAGAGCATCACAGTGACCTGGAGAGCTCTGACGCTCAGATGATGTGCCAGACATCACTTCAGATGAGTGTGGATCCCATCACCCCCCTACTTCAGTCTGTCCCTGGCCTCCCAGAGACCAAGGTGTGCCGAGCCCCTGTGGCTATGTGAACCTCTCTTCCCCCAGTGAAGGGGAAGACTGTCTTGAAGCAAAAAGGTGCAGAAGCCCGAGTTTGAAGTGGAATGAAAGCTCCTATTCATAGAATTCACCCTAATCAATGAAACCCCAGAGAAGATGGCCCCCATCAGCCACTGACCAACAAATTACATAGTGATAGGATAGATTTAGTTACAGGGAACCTGTTTGTAGAGCAGCCATGAGAAACCATGAGAACAGAGCAGAGGTGGTAGCGGCTGCATACCACAGAGGAGGAAATGTGGGCGGTTTGAATCCAGACCAAATTAACTGCTTAAAAGGACCTCCAAATCAGTAATCTTTCAAAAGAAAACAATGGAATCCACAGTCACTACAGTATATTAACTACAATGACCAGTTTTCAATTCAAGTTACTAGGCATGTAAAGAAATAGGAAGAAAAGTTTGAAGAAAAGGCAATCAATTCAAAGGGACTCAGTGTACCCAGATGTTTGATTTAGCAAAGACTTTAAAGCATCTCCTGTATTTTGTTAAAATGGTAATTATATCGATTGATATTTGTGTGTTAAATTTACCTTGGGTTCCTGAGAAAAGTCCCATTTGATCACAAAAACTACATGTTTTCCCACATTTTTACAAAAATTGTACATAGTTTTTAAAATTGGATTTCATGTGAGATCCTACCGCCATGGCAAATCACAAAAGCCATTGAGGTTAACATTCCTGCTGCAGTTATTTTTGGATTAAAAATATCAAGAATTTTGCACTAAAGTATAAACTCCATAAATGTTTAGGCTTTTGTGTGTTTTTCTGTGTCCCTAACAACTTGTACAGTGCCTGACATAGTGTGCTCAATAAATATTTATTGAATGAATGAATGACTAAAAAATATGCTAAAATTACCAGTTGACACAATGGAGTAAGAATGGCAGATATTTTCCACCTATAATAAGGCAATCAAGGGCCTGATTATGTTAAACTAGTTATTAATCTTGTTTTTTTAAATCCATGTCTATGTTAAGATTTCTCAATAGAAGTTCAGGTAAATGGCAGAATAATTTTAATATTAATTGTCATGAATTTTAAAATGTAAGACATAGGAGGGGTACAATTAAATTAGTGAATTAAAATCATTTCTAGGTAGAAACTTAGTTAAAATATATAATTGGCTAATATATATGATAAATTTGTAAAAAGCATTTGAATGTGTGGTCTTCCAATTATCTGACTCTATAACTTTAATCCTTCACTGGTTTATTGATTAAGCAGACATGCCAGTTTGTGCACCCAAAGAAAACAAAGTGACCAGAGTTATGTATTAATAAGTAAACTCCTAGGAAAGATATTGGAGTTTCCTTAGGCAAAGAATTTATTTGTCTTTCATAAATTCTTAGTGTACAGCATGTTATTAGACTTTTGGACACAAGAGGGTGCTGGTGACTGAAATTCAGAAATTCACACTATTTCTCCTTTAACCCCAAAGAGTGCCAAACAGAATCCAACTGCGAACATCCTGTTTGTGTGAATCCTCAGATCCCCCAAATTAGCAGTTTGCGAAGTGTATAGCTACAAAACAGAACACTTAGAATGAATCAAAACGTTGAAAGGAGGAAAGTGTTATATAAAAGATCTGAAATGCAACACATTTGGTGCTTCAGTGTAAAGGTGAGTAAAAGAGGCTAACATTAATTCTTGGATACTACCTGGCCTGATAGTTTTTTCCTATTATATGATGTCCAGCTGGCTACAGTATGCGCTGCAATGGAAAAAGTAAAAAAAAAAAAAGTGTTATGATTCCACATTTTTATTTTTTTAAGAATTTTAAATTTCATTTCTCTATTACAGTTTATATTCAAAGTTATTTTGCATTAGTTTCAGGTGACAGCATAGTGGTTAGGCAATCATTTACTGGGCAAAGTGTTTCCCTCAATATTTCCAGTACCCACCTGCCACCATACATAGTTATCACAATATTATTGACTATATTCCCTATACTATTCTTTACATTTGCATGACTATCCTGTAACTATCAAATTGTACTTGTTAATCCCTTTGTCTCTTTCACCCAGTCCCCCAACTTCCCTCCCTCCTGGCAACCACCAGTCTGCCCTCTGTCTACCAGTCTGTTTCAATGTTGTTTGTTCATTGAGAAAGTAAAAGTTGAAAGAAGTCAGATATTTATAAATAAAATGAGAATAATGCAGCCTTGCTTTTTTTATCTATATGAATCATGAAAAGGTCCTAAATTTTTAAATAAATTATGCTAGAAATTTACTGATGAAAAATTAAATTTAATATGTTTTTTCTTTGGATAAAGTGTATATCTAAGATTACCATGAAATATTTTACTTTTCAAATGACATTCTAGAAAAATACTTCCCCAGTTCTTGGGTTGAGATTAATTAAAGGAATTAGAGATAATAAGACAAAAGTTCAGGGAATACTTATAAAGCAAATCACTTCACTATTCCTTCCTAGCTATTGTTCTCACTAGAAACATGATATTTAAAAAGAAATAAAATTGAAAATTGAAAGAAAATTTTAAATGATAGCAAAACAAATTAAAATGAAATTAGTAATGCAATTAATTAATGCATGTTGTTAAAATGGAGTTTAAATTACATTTTTGCTTTTCTCCTTTAATAACTATAACACATTATAAAGATTTTTTTCAAGTTCTCATACAGAATAAAATAGCACAAAAAGAAAGAATGCAGGAGAACATAGTCCATTCTCATCACCTACCATTCATTTACATCTCAAAAAGATACGAACTAAGCTAGAAAAAAACAAAGAAATGGACATGAGGAGCTCCAAAAGTTCTTCTGTAGTCTGAGGAAGGGTCTTCATCTACTATATAATTAGTTTGTAAATAATTTTTTAAATCTTTTCATTTCATGGACAATGTGAAGAGAGAGAGAGAGAAAAGCCCCTTTCTAGATTTGTCAGCAACTGGACTTACTACTGATTTTCACCTGAGGATGGTATCCATGTGAGGAACAAACACTGTGCTTCCAGGAAGAAGGCAGAGATGGGGAATTGCTTTCGGACCCCGGGCTTATCTTTCAACTTCACAGAGCCTCAGTTACCTCGCCACAAAAGGGGAGTAACAATAGCAACAGGACCTTGGAGAATCTCTGATAAAATGTGAAAACACATAAAATATTGTCTTAATAGAAGTTACTAGGCAAGTGTGCCCATTCCACTAAAATTTCTTGTGCTAAATGTATGCGAATGGGCAAGAGGTGGAGGATGGTTGGAGGTTTTGCAAGCGCCTGCTTCCGTGCTGCGCCCTCCCTCCACCCCACCCCATTTCCCACATCTGGTAGCACTTGACTTCACCGTCTCATATATGCAAGAGGCTGCCACCTGCCTCTAGCCACTTTTGCTGACTTTTATTTAGCTGACTTGTTTTCAAGGAGGAGTGAAGGGGGACTTTAGGTGGGAAGTGATAGTTGGGATATCTTCACCTTTGGAATCGACCATCAGAATTTATTTTGTTTCCCTGTACCTATTTCCTTAAGTCCCGATTCACAATTAGTTTTGTAAGTTTCAGTGCGCTCCCGGGGAGCAGGGCAGCCTGCCTTGCTCGTGATCACTCCAGAATCCCGAAGTAGAAAGGGAAAAACGTTCACAATCAGCTATGCAAAGGAGCGCAGTTTGCCTCTGTTACTTAGGGGCAGGTGCGTTACACTTGCCAGGGTTACAAAAGACCTCCAGGGGAGGGCTCAGTCCCTGCGGGAGGAGAAGGAGCAGAGTGGGCGCTCTCGGTCCGCCTTGGCAACCTGAGGACATTTTAGTCCCCGCCGCCCACGGACACTCCTCCGGCGGAGACGGGAGGAAACGCGGAGCTGGGACGGGTGTCCCGTCCCGCCCGAAACTGGGCATTTCGAGAGGATCCCTCCCGGAGGTTTTCCCAGCTCTCGCGGCCCGGCCCGCGGTCTCGCCGCAGCCCAGGGACGCGCGCAGTAGCTACTCCCTGCTCCTCCCACCACAATTAGGCTCACACCCACGGCGCCCCGCCCCCCTCGGCCTTATAGAGGGGGCGAGCCGCGTCTGCGAGCCTGGGAGCTAAAGGCTTCCCCCAGCCGACGGCGCGGTTGCCTGCTTGGCGCAAAAGCCCAGGGGCTGCAGCGGCCGCTGTAGCCAAGTGAGGAGGCGGCTGCGCCCCGATCATGGAAGGCAGCCCCGCCCCAGCACCAGCCCGGGTCGCTACCGACCTTCGCCGCCACCCGTACCGGGTCTACCAGCTCTCGCTGCTGCTCGCCGGGCGCCGTCCTATCCTCACCTCGAAGCCAACATGAAGGAGAACCGGGGCGACGGGAGCGCCCCTTTCTGCGCCCGTCTCAACTACTCCTACCCGGGCATGTGGGAGCCCGAGCGCTCCGCGGAGGCGCGGGGCAACCTCACGCGTGTCCCGGAGACCGGCGAGGATTGTCGCTCGGTGTCCGTAGTCTTTCCCATCACCATGCTGATCACCGGCTTCGTGGGCAATGCGCTGGCCATGCTGCTGGTGTCGCGGAGCTACCGGCGCCGGGAGAGCAAGCGCAAGAAGTCGTTCCTGCTGTGCATCGGCTGGCTAGCGCTCACCGACATGGTTGGGCAGCTGCTCACCAGCCCCGTGGTCATCGTCGTGTACCTGTCCAAGCAGCGTTGGGAGCACCTCGACCCGTCGGGGAGGCTGTGCACTTTCTTTGGCCTGACCATGACTGTTTTTGGGCTCTCCTCGCTCTTCGTTGCAAGTGCCATGGCCGTCGAGCGGGCACTGGCCATTCGCGCCCCGCACTGGTACGCGAGCCACATGAAGACGCGTGCCACCCGCTGTGTGCTGCTCGGCGTGTGGCTGGCAGTGCTCGCCTTCGCCCTGTTGCCGGTGCTGGGCGTGGGCCAGTACACCATCCAGTGGCCCGGGACGTGGTGCTTCATTAGCACCGCAGGAGGTGGCAACGGGACTAGCTCCCCGCGCAACTGGGGCAACCTTTTCTTCGCCTCCACCTTTGCCTTCCTAGGGCTCTCGGCGCTGACCATCACCTTCGCCTGCAACCTGGCCACCATTAAGGCCCTGGTGTCCCGCTGTCGGGCCAAGGCCACGGCATCGCAGTCCAGCACCCAGTGGGGCCGGATCACGACTGAGACGGCCATCCAGCTCATGGGGATCATGTGCGTGCTGTCAGTCTGCTGGTCGCCATTGCTGGTAGGTAGTTCCTGGGTGTGCAGAGGTCTGAGTGGGGCTCCTGCGGGCATCAGAGACTTCTCAAAGTGACAGCACGTGCAGAAGTGTGTTTGCGACCACACGGCTTTGGGGAGGCCTTTCTGCCGGCGCAGTCGTGGTTGCAGTTCCAGAGTTGAGTTTCTCTCTTAACTTGCTGAGCACCTTCCAAATACCAGGCATTGCCTCAGCTTCTGGTTTCGCACAAATGGAGACCCCAGGGGCGCTCATTTTTTAACTGTAGAGAGTTAAGAGTTTACTCAGGTGTGATTTCAGTGTCTGAGCAGAGATGTTTTCTACTGGGTGCATTGGCAAGGACAACCGTAGCCTGTGGCTTTCCCCCTTATTTCAAATACCCCTCCCACTCTGAGGTGAATTTAAGTCAGCGAAAGTCCTCTGCCTGTGCCCACAGGCAGGCACAGCCCTCTTGCAGCTTCTGAGCCTCTTGTGCACTCTCTCAGCGCAGCCGGCTAACCCTCCTTGCAGGCTCACTCTAGACTAGAGGCAGGAGAGTAAAGGTTCATTTGTGGCTGGAGCCAGCCTCAGCCATTTGGAAGGATGCTGGACCACCCTAGGGCGTTCTTGAACTGACAGTCAGTGAACCCTCGAGGTCTGGTAACTCCCAACGACCAGCCTTTGTTTGCCCTTTTGGCAACTATTTAGACCGGGATGGGGGGGCGGGGGGGGGGAGGGGGCGGTGCTGGAGAGGCGGGCAAAGCCAGTCCCGGGACGGGAGGTAGGGGTCTCGTCACTTCCCAGCTCCTCCAAGGGGCACACAGTCTGGAAGCAGGTGATGTTTCCACAGGCTCCTTGTCTAACACCCACTCTTATATCTTACTTTCCTCTGTTACTTTTAGCTGAAGATTTCTGAGGGTAAGTGCTCTTTACTAATTCCTGATGGATGGAGGCTTATTTAGGCAGACTGGCTTCATAGGAGTTATGTTGGAGAAATAGCGACATAACAACAGATATACAATCTGTTCGCAGAGTCATAACAGATTATATATTGGACCTGGAAATTTATTAGACAGTTGTGAAAAACTTCTGACACCCATGGACATAAGTTTGCAGAACCCACACACATATAATTTTTTCCTTTTAAATTGTGGTAAAATACACATAACATAAAATTCATCATTTTAACTATTTTAAGTGTACGGTTCAGTAATAGTAAATATATTGACATTGTTGTGCACCACTTACTGTTTTAAATCTCTGGTGTTTAAAAATAGAACTCTAGTTCCTTGTCCCTTCCCATCCTCCCTTTCATTGGACGAAGCAGATATTCCAGAATACCTGTGTTTCACTGTGTAGTATATTTAGACCACAAGTCTTAGCTCCAATCACTGCCGACATGTGGTGACAAGAAGAGTTCTGTTGGGACCTTCCTGCCCACCAGCTGCTGTATGGTCACAGCTCTGCGTTCCAGGAGCTAGAACTCAGGCTGATGTCATCACGATGGCTTATCAAAACCAGCACCAATTTTAGACATATTTACTTCTATGGCAGAAGAATGGAGTGTGGAGGTGGCCAAACAGAAGGGGAAAAGAGTTCCTAAATAATGAACACTTTACTGACTATGATAATGAACATAACTTTAAAGGCAACGAAGAAAAACCTGAGTTTTTCAGGACTGTCGTTTGAGTCCCATGCCCTTAATTGTGCTCTATCATACTGTTTATATCCTGGAAAAAATGCAATTAAGTCAAATGAATAAAATGCTTATCCATACAGGTAACTGAACTTACAGATGTTTTTTTTTTAACTAGAAGAGATACTATGTACAGTAGTGTGTCTTTTATTTTAAAACTTTAATCTTATACCGTGAGTTCAGTGGCCTTGGAAGAATTTAGATCAATTCATAACCTAGGATGGCCAAACGTACTCTCTTAAGAGAGACTATTTGGAAGTAGTTTCATTTAATTTCAATTAATACCTACATTCAAACAATATCTATTGACTTGCAGCATGTTCTTAGACATTTTATTAATTCAGTCCTCATAAAAACATTAAACTTAAAAAAATTTTAATGTGCTTGATTATATCAAAGAGGAGAAATTCAAGATTTGCAAAATTGGTACTTTTTAAACTAGAGCAAATTGTTCTACCTTCTGTTTTGTGCTCTTTTGAAATTAAATCTCTAAATATCTTAAGAAAGCTCTCCAGTAAAAAGCAGGAATTATCTCAAAGAAAAGAAAGAAACTGGCAAAACCACTTTCCTAATAGGTGAGGGAATTATAAGAATGAAAACACTAGAACTTAGTGAATTGAATTTTTAGTGCATTAATGTTAAAGTGAGAGATTGCTTTCTACATCTTTTTCTTAGCTATGGGTAAAATATAGATTCCTTGTTAGCTTTGGTCAAATTGGGAATCATCCAAATTCCCTACTTATACGAACTCCGAGTATATCTTATCTTGGAAGACTATTATGATTATAATAATATTCTATTGTTACTGCTAGAAGGCTTAGCAGAGAAGAGAATATGAAAACATTGCAGCTGCTACAAGTTCCCACAACCTAAATATTTAAATGTAGGTTATCTATGCTGCCAACAAATTTTTTTACTTTTTATTTTTTCCAGACACCTTACAAGGTGTGAAATTGAGTGAGAATACAGTGGAAAACAGTCTCACCATGTCTATGATTCTTAGCCCTATTTATGTTCATTTGTCATTCTTTGGAATTAGCCAGTGGACTCAGCAATGCAATCTGTTTGACGTTTCATTATTGTTATTATTATTATTATGAACCACAGTCACCAAATAGTTCTGTTATTTGACATGATAGCCAAGATTCTAGAAGCAGCAATAACCTTAGGGGAATGTTGAGAGACACTATGAGTACAGTTTGTGCTTTTATCAACCAGGCATTCGCTGTACAGGTAGAATGTGGCTAACACTGTAGCTATCTTAAAAATAGTAAATATAAAGTAACTATCAACAATGTGAAAAGTGAGGTATGAGGAACAGAGTTACTCATTTATAACTTTGGAACTGGATAAAAGCAGCCTTAGAAACATTTGCCTTTAATCTTGAACCAGCACATTCCCTGCTCAGTGTCTGCAGATGTAGACGGGAATGCTTTGATTCAAGAACATATTTCGCGATGTAGATGTGACTTTTTTTAATTTAAGGAATCACTGATATATTGATGAATAAAATTTGCCTGAAATATATTACATGTGAGAGATTGTTTTACAGAAATAATGCTGTTTTATACTATAAAAAAGTTTTGTTCAATTGCAAATTTTCTCTGCCTGTAAATTTCTGCCATGTTAAGGATATAGTTTCAGGGAAAATGATTAAACATGCGAATTGACATTACAGGAAACATCTATAATTTGCTTTAATAAGAATTGAGATTATTTTGAATTCTTTACATTTTTTGAGTTTACTACATTTTAGGTTCTATGGAAGGGATATTAAGACTTATGAAAAACAGCCAGAGAGTTACAATCTGTTCAGAAAAGCAGAATTCCTACATTTATGAGTGAAACAATTAGAGAACAATACAGGAAAGGATGTAATGAGTGCCTTTAACTCTGGGAAGAAAGTCCATCTGAATTGGCCAGAGGAGGCTTCCTGGAAGAGGTGGGGTGACATAGCTCGAACTCAGAGCTGAGAGCGAGTGAGCCTAGGAACCTGGTGGGATGGGGACAAAGTGTGGGCACTGGAGCCGTGGGAACAATGATGTGGAAAGGCTCCCGGGGCCAAACTGAGGTCGTTTTGATGAACATAGGATGAGGGTTATGGGTTTTGTTTTTTTCTTTTGTTTTGTTTGTCAGTAGGCAGTGCAACCTCTATTTTTTTCTTTTTAAATAGGGGAATTTTTAAAAGATCAGCAGTGCAGTAGTACGTGGATAGATTTGGACCGGAAAAGAGAAAGCGAGATCAGTTACGGCTTGCTTTTGCAGGCTGGTTAGGGCCTTAGGTTAGAGACAGTGGGAAGAGATAAGTCAGAGAAAGAAAGGAAAGAGAGAACTAATGCTATTAGAAATGGTTGATTTTAGGAGTGATTGATTCCACAAACATTTCTTATACATCTACTATGTCCTATTCACAGTGATTAATTACCTCATTTAACTGCATCCTGTAAGAATGCCACTGTTTTCTACATCATTCAGATGAAGAACTCAAGTATAAAGAATAATAGAATTAGAATAATTAAGGGTATCTGACTCTGAGTTTATTTTTAATTTTTGTTGTTCATTTGCTTGCTTAGCTTAGATAGAGGTGATGAATTCTAGTCCTACATATCTTTCTGTTATATGTGTAAGTTACAGATGCTTCTGCCTGTAAAGTAGAGAGGTAGGACTAATAGATATATAGGTCTGTCTCTATTATGTTATTCTCAGGTGTTCTTATTTGCGAGAATCATGGTTCAACAAACCAGATGAGAAATTTGGGAAAGACACTGATAAATTGTTTTTTGTAAGAATGGGGATCCTGAGCCACTAGGACTTTTGGACACAGTATATAAGATGGTAGATTATCTAAATGATATATCCAGAAAGCCAAAATAACTTTAAGATTGAGATAAATCAGAGCTAAAAAAAAAAGATTTTTTATTTGGAGTTTATCAGAGACAGCCAAGAACTAAACAGTTCTTAAGCCATCAGATTTGAAGAAATTCAGATGGTCTAAAGTTGTAGGATAATTGTGACTCATTGGCCTTTCTCCTTTGAAAAAGTTGTGAAGGTCAATGACTCAATCATGAAAGTTCCCACAGGCTCAGTTTTCCGGGAATTAATCTCAGGAATGTACCCCAAACACATGTAACAGATGGTGATTCCTCTGAGGATGCTGAAGGTGGTAGCGAGGGTGGCTGGGTGTCCTGTTTCAGTTTTCAGGGAAGCAATGAGGGAAATGCTCCCCAACACTGCTTATATTTCTGTCATATTTTTATAACCCACCAGTGTTCCCCATTTATCTCATTCATGCCTCACAATTCTAAGACCTACAACTCTAACCTGTCAAATTCTG